TTGTACATTCTATGGGTCTGAACAAATATGTAATGGCATGTATCTATCGTGATAGTATAAATCACGTGGAATATTTTTATTACCCTAAAAGTCCTTTGTCCTTTGCCTATTCATCCCTCCTCCACCCCAACTCCTAGCAACCACTGATCTTTGTATTGTTTCCATAGTTAGCCTTTTCCAGAATATCCTGTAGTTGGGATTGTGAAACAAAAACTTTCATGTGAACGCTTTTCTAAAACAAAGGGTTTATTGAGCCTTATGCTAGCCAGGGTGCTGGTAGTATGTCTGTTGGTATGTGCACTTTGTAATAATTCATTGAGCTGAACCTTCTCTATCTGTGTATCTTTTTGTATGTATGCCATACTTCAATACATTATATGTAAAATTAGGAGTCATTTTCTATTTCAGTCCCCTGAGTATTTCTCAGTGTGTTCTAGTAAAATATTCATGTAGTTCTCTTCAAAAGAAATAGTTGCCATAGTCTGTTTTTTGTTTGTTTATTTTTTAAATAAACTAGTAGGGTTAAACAGTTCTTGGGTTCCTATCCTGGCCTAGCATATGGCCTGTTTTGGAGAGTGTTCTATGTACACTTGAAAAAAAAATTGCTGTTGTTGGATGTAGTATTCTATGGATGTCTTTTAGGTCCAGTTTCGTTATAGTGGTATTCGAGTCTTGTATGTATATCCTTGTTGAGCTGTGCGTGCTATTCTGGATGCTAAGGCCTTAAAGTTTTCCATTAGCCTAATTGATGTCTTGGAGAAAACAAATACCCCAGCTTGATAGGTTTGCTAATGTATATGGCTGACTTTTTCTATATTAAAACTATAGAGCAAAAAGCAAGCGAGGGGAAATCCCCAAGATATTCTCTGATTTTAAGGAATTTACAATCTAGTTATATAACCTAGCTTTGATTGATGGGGATACTGTTAACAGGGACACCAATTAAAAACTGTCACAGTTACCTAGGTAAGAGATGTTGATAACCTAAACTAAGGTATTGGGAATGGATGGGAGGATTTCAAGAAACATTTGAAGAAATAAAATGAATAGGACATGGTGATTGGTTATTTGAGGAGGCAGATTTGAGGAAAAGAAAGTAGTCAAGGATGATTCCCCAATGCTTCTGTCAACAGCTAAGTCACTCAGTCATTGACTTAGAGAACAAAAGGTTTCAGTAGGTTGAAATGGTTTGAGACCTAGTTAAACATGAATGACTAGTAGCTAACTGGTTATATGGCCGTGGCACTCAGAAGAGAGGTCTGAACTTGAAATATAGATTTCGAAGTAATCAGCATCTAGTTGATAGTTGAAAGCTGAAAATAGATGACATCACTCAAGGAAATTTTGTAGAGAAGTGAGGAAGGAATTCTGAGGGAACCACACATATTCCAAGGATGGGCAGAGAAGGAGAAGCCCTCAAGTGCAGCACACAAGGAGTGGCCTGCAGTACTTGGACAGTGTGCCATTATAGAAGCCAAAGTGGAGTAGCATTTGCTCTAATAAACTCGTCAACATTCATTTTTTTTTAAAAAATCCTCACCCGAGGATATTTTTCCATTGACTTTTAGAGAGAGTGCAAGAGAGAGGGAAAGACAGAAATATTGATGCACACCGATTGGTTACCTCCTGCATGAGCCTGGACGAGGGAGGAGCCTGCAACCAAGGTACGCGTCAGTGTCCTAGCTATTGGCCGGAATTGAACACTGGGATCCTTTCGTCTGAAGGCCGATGCTCTATCCACTGAGCCAAACCGGCTAGGGCAACTGGTCAACATTATTAATGCTGTATAGAAAGAAGAAAGTTAAGGACTGAAATGTGACTATTGCACATAAGAAGGTTTTTGATATGCCAGTTAAAGTCATTTAAAATAGTGGTTGGGGAAAAGTGTAGTTTGAAAACTGAGAGGTAAGAGGGTTAGAGAATAGAGTCTAGGAGAAGGCAGGGACCGGGATTGAATGATTTTTAAAAAAATTTAAATAAGACAGGTGGGAGATAGAAATGTGTTTTTTAGCTTCTCTAAACAAGGATTTAAGTGTGCTAGTGGAGAAAAATAGTAAAGTGGGATAAGTTAAAGAAATAATACTAGTGCTATTCCTTAAAATGTCTCATTCTCACTGGATTTCTCAGTCTATAGATTAGTATTTAACAATCTGAAATATAAATTTATGAGGCACACTTAGATATTCTTTTCATTGTGAGTTTTTCCCCCTACAGTCATGATTATTGACTACTTGCCAATCAGATTTGTCATTGTGTCTCAAAATAACTTCTGGGTACACAGGGAGCAAACTTCCTCTACAAAAAGGAGCCATTATTGTATCAGGAGGATGATTTCAAGATGTGATCTGAAAAACTAAAGTCTCATTAAAATATTTGGCCTACTTTTCAAAATTTATTCATGAATCTTTTGTATGGGACTGAGTTATCTTTATGGTTTAGCAAACAACCTTAATTAAGGAGACATCATTTTTTACAAAGGAAACAGCCAATTTCAGAAGTTTGCATTTAATTTGAAAGCAGTTAACAGATGACAGATGAATTAAAATGCCTGGTGTATTCCAAAATTGTCTTCCTTTTATTAGTTCTCGTTATGTCCTTGATGTTTGGATTACCACTAAATGATGATGATATACTTATCTACTTGATAGTATAGTATATGTACCACTTCACAGAGTATTAATGCAAAGACTGAAAGAAGAAAATAATTATTTGCTGTTTTGCTGTAATGGGGACTGTTTTTCTGCTTAAAGGATCTTAAAGATGATGCTTTTGAGTCTGGCCTTGTCTTTCTATCACCTCTTAATCAACTGCTAATTTCCTCTTCAGCATAGCACATTTACACACAACGTGTAACTTTGTTACATAGAATAGAAACCTAGAGCTTCAGACTGTGGACACAAAGTGAGACACAGTTATTCACGGCTTAGAGTACTGTTTGAGCTTCAGAGCAGGCAGCTTCCCCAGGAATGGGCTTATCGTTTTTTTACTGTTTCTTCTAAGTTTGTCATTAAGTTGGAGGTAGAAATGTTTCTTTTTGTCCCTCTGCACACTGGGTAAGTAAGAGACCTAATTGAACCCTTTGTAGCTTTCTTAACCCTTCTTTATCAAGTTCTATTTTTCAGGCCTTTCCCCCTCTAAATCAAAAGCCCTTATCATCATGCTTGTCCCAAGTATTTCTCCATTAGTACTAACATTAGCATATGAAATTATTTATATCTAGGATGTTGTGCAATCGGGTCTTTCTTCACAGGGTATTATTGCTGGAGAAACCTTGCGCTTTCTCAAACATCTCCAACTATTTTATCTGTAAATTAATTTATATTCTTCTGAGAATTATAACACTGAATAGTTACAATAAGCCTTCACTTATTTTTCTTCTTTTTGTTTTTATTTCCTGCTTTTAGCTTTATTTTTCAAGATAGTTAAAACTTTTTTCTGGTGTTGCCCTGCATGTTGGTTGCTATGAAAATGTTCCAGAGAAATGGTAGATTAAGTTAAGGCCAAGAATAATAAGATAAACTCATCTCATAGGGTAGGGTGGGAATAGATCAAGATTGCCCTCTTACAGACAGTAGGTTTTGTTTGATATAATATCTTTCTCAGAGCAACTTATGCTTCAATTCATATAAGAGCTGAGTTTTAGTCTCAGTTCCACAGTTTATAGCTTCGGGCAAGTTATTTAATGCTGCAGCAGCTCAGCAGTTTTCTATAAAATGGGCCTAGTAATGCCTCGGAGGAGTGACTGGCCCAGAGTAGATACTTGATGAATTTTAATTTCTGTGTTGTGCCCTCTAAAGCAGAAGCAGATAAGATGAACCTGTAATAGAGGATATGGTAATATGCTTTAAAACATTTAAAATGTCAATTTATAATATGTGAATGGAATCCTCAAAGCAATATAACTGATAGTGGTATCGCTATGCTCATAGAACAAATCTGAAGTGTCTTCATATTTTTAAGTTATTACATTTGAAACTGACCTTTTATAAAAAACCTTTAATGACTATTTTAGCAGCTTTATTGAAGTATAATTTGCATACTATAAAATTAACTTATTTTAAGTGCATGGTTCAATGATTTTTAGTAAATTTACAGAATTGTGCAACCATCACCATAATCCAATTTTAGAACATTTCCATCACCCCTAAAAGTTCCCTCACTTTAGTGACTATTAACTTTCATCTGTAAGATGGCACAAATTATGGGATTTAAAAGTACCAGTTTGGGAGTTAGGTCTGTCTGAGTTTGGATCCCAATCCTGCTACTTACTAGCCTTGAGTCTTGGAGTACTTCTATGTACTTTGATTTCATTTCTTTTCTTTTTCTTTTTAATCCTTACCTGAGGGTATGCTTATTACTTTTAGAGAGGGGAAGAGAGTGAAACGAAAAAAAATCACTTTGACAGAGAACATCAATCGGTTGCCTTCCATATGTGCCCTGACTGGGGACTGAACCCTCAAACTAGGTATGCACCCTGACCAGGAATTGAATTCACAACCTTTCAGTGTACAGGACGACACTCCAACCAACTGACCCACACTGACCAGGCTGTACTTCAGTTCCTTTATCTTTAAAATGGAGATATTGACATTATATCATTGTTGTGATTATTCAGTTAATAAGGTACTGTGTATAGAAGAACACTGAAAATGCTAAAATACCTAACAGATATATTGTGATTTAGATTTATGGTAGATCCTATATAATAAAAGCATAGTATGCAATTGTCCCCTCAACTGGGAGTTGTCGGGGAGTTCTACCAGGGGCCAGGGCTGGCAGGGGGAAGGGAGGGAGGCTCTGACTAGCATCTGCTAGGGACCCTACCAGTGCACTAATTTCAGGCACTGGGCCTCTTTAAATAAGAGAAGCATCTGAAAATACCTAAAATAATGCCTGACACACAGATTTTTTTTTTTCAGAAAACCAAGCTCTGTTATATCATGTTGTCGTAAGTTTATAGTAGCTCTTTAGCAGTTGCTTTAACCACAGTTAAACCTTTGAGGCTCACAACATATAGTTATTTGTTATTTTGCAGAGGCATGGATTTGAATTGAGTGGTACACTGTAGCTATGAGAGTTGGAGTTGGATATCTGGAGACTACTTACTGAGCTGGTAGAATGAGTCATTGGTCTTACTGTTTATTGTTCATTGAAATACTTTTCTTACTGAGGGCACATATAAGAAGCAACCGACAATGCATAAATTAGTAGAACAACATCTCCCTCTCCCTTCCTCTCTCTCTCTAAAAAGTCAATAAAATAAAACATTTTTTAAAAAAACAATATCTAAAATCCTTAAAAATAAATCTTAAAAATAAACCTTAAAAAGACAGTACAATCTCTTTTTTTCTCATTACCCATACCGAATTTGGAAGGCAGCTATGCTCACCACTATACCACCAACGCCAACCCCATACCGAATTTGATGATAAAATAGTTTAAGGTAGTTTTTATTTTGGGCCAATTCTCTCTTTATTGAGGGGTTAACATACAACAGGAATGTACATGTTGTAAGTGTAGAGCTTGATAAAACTTCACAGCTGAACAGATTCATGTAACTGGTATACAGATTAAGAAACAGAATATTATTGACCACCTTAAAAAGGCTAATTTTTAAATATAAAACAATCACAGATTTAGATAAACTTGAGAGACTTAGGTCTTGGATCTTTTAATGTTATTACTAACTTTGTGTGTCACCTTAGGCAAGTTATTCTGTCTTTCTGGGATCTGTACCTCATCTTTAAATTGAGGGGCTGAGATTGGATGTTTTATTATGGCTCTAATTCTGTAAAAGGGCAATAAGAGGGTATGGTGACATAAATGTACTATAAAAGGTTGGAGGTTGTAGGCTGAGAAGACAGTGTAATTTAAAAAGGGAGATTGATTTTTTTCTTTTTCTTTGTTTTCCAGGTTATATTTCACACTATGTGCTGACTGTATCTACAGAAACTATTAAAAAAAAGATAAACTTTTTTCAAAGATTTTGATTCCAGTGGAATCTTTGCTTTAGATATTGTGTGTGTGTGTGTGTGTGTGTGTGTGTGTGTGTGTGTGTTAGTGAATTGTAACTCCAGAAGCAATGCCTGTACAAGCTCCACAGTGGACGGATTTCCTTTCCTGCCCGATTTGCACTCAGACTTTCGACGAAACAATTCGAAAGCCCATCAGTTTGGGTTGTGGCCATACTGTCTGCAAGATGTGCCTGAATAAACTCCACCGGAAGGCTTGCCCATTTGACCAGACCACTATCAATACTGACATTGAGCTCCTTCCCGTGAACTCAGCGTTGCTTCAGCTAGTGGGTGCTCAGGTATGATGGGTGACCTACTATACTTTTTAATTTCTGTGTGTGTTTTCCTCCTGAGGCAAATTTGTTGAATTAAAACTGGATAATATTGCCCTCTATTTAAATAGATAAAATATTGTTCAGTACTGTGCAAATCCTTTATTTCATTCTGTTAGGAGACTTACAGTGGTAGTCCAGTGTTTCTCAGTTATAATACGGTAACAATATTTTAATCTGGTGTCCGACTTTCTCAACAAATTTAGCAATTCTGATTACTAGAGAAACCTAAGAAGTCACAAGGACTTTTATAGTGAGGAAAATATTATTCACAAAACCATTGCATTTTACTTAATAAGAAAAGTGAAGCTGCTTCAGACAATTTTACTTAGTAGATATTAATCAAAATGAAAGAAGAAGAAGGTGACAAGAAACTATAGCCCACAGCCTTTGGGAACCACTTATCTAGGGTAGGAGCAAATATCCTTAGATAACCATAAAGTTTAGTGTGGTAATTCTGAAAGTAATACTTTGAAAGTTTTATGTCAGTATTCTTTAATTCAAGATCAGTGGTATCTTCAGAAGGCTTCACAAAGTCATGGGAGTCAGGGTTTTGAAAGCCGGATATGATTCACTTAAATAACCCCTCACCAGATTAATTTGCATAGTGTCCAAAGTACCATCTGTTTACTGTAAATCGTTATCAGAATAAATATACTGAAATTTTGGATCTAACTCCACTCAGATATCCTAAAGGCTGCAGAAAGTAGAGAAGGTTAATATTATGTATGTTGAAGGTAAAGAGAGCAGTTCTTATTCAAAAGGAAAACTTAATTTACTTACATACTTGTTTCGATGTCATCAGCAATACTATAAAATATTTGTCCAAAGGGGAAGTGCAGTTTTTTCTTTTCTTCCTATACTTAATTTTTTATTTATAATCATTTTTCTTTTTATTTTGAAAATTCCAGTATGACATTCTGGAAACATATTAAAAATAGACTTATTGGCCCTGGCTGGCATGGCTCAGTTGGTTGAGTGTCATCCCATGCATTGGAGAGATCACTGGTTCCATTCCTGGTTAGGGCACATGCCCAGATTGCAGGTTCAGTCCCCAATAGGGGGCATGTAAGAGGCAGATATCTTTTCGTAAAGATATCTAAGGATGAACTGATTTTCCCCCTACAAAATGAGTAAGTCGTTCTCATATCTTAACTGAAACAGCTAATGTTTGTGAAATTTGAGGGTAGGATCGTATGCATTTTAACACATAAATCTACTATTTTAACCCTAAAGAGTTCCATTTAAAAACTGTTAGAGCCTTGGCCGGTGTTTCGCAGTGGTTAGAGCAGCCGTGGGCAAACTACGGCCCGCGGGCTGGTTTGAAATGAATAAAACTGAAAAAAAAAAAAAAAAGACCGTACCCTTTTATGTAATGATGTTTACTTTGAATTTATATTAGTTCACACAAACACTCCATCCATGCTTTTCTTCCGGCCCTCCGGTCCAGTTTAAGAACCCATTGTGGCCCTCGAGTCAAAAAGTTTGCCCACCCCTGGATTAGAGTGTTGGCCCTGGCATCAGGAGGTCACAGGTTTGATTCCTGGTCCAGGGCATGTACCTTGATTGCAGGTTCGATCCCTGGCTCTGGTTGGGGCATGTGCGAGAGGAAACCAATCAATGTGTCTCTCTCACATCAATGTTTTTCTCGCCCTCTCTCCCCCTTCTTCTTTCCTTCTATTCTCTCTAAAAATCAATGGAAAAAATACCTTCAGGTGAAGAAAAAGAACAAAAAAGAAAAGTTAGAGCTAATAAATTAATTAACCAAAGTTGCAGTTAAAAAATCAACATGCAAAAATTAATTGTATATCTATACTAACAATGAACAATCCAAAAGGAAATTTAAACAATTCCAACCGAGGCTGGTTCGGCTCAGTGATTGAACATAGACCCATGAACCAGGAGGTCTTCTCCTCCTGGTCAGGGCTCATGCCCAGATTGTGGGCTCAATCCCTAATAGGGGGTGTGCAGGAGGCAACCGATAAATGATTCTCTCATCATTGATATTTCTATATCTCCCTTCCTCTCTGAAGTCAATAAAAATATTTTTTTAAAAAACACATATGTAAGTCAGTAGCATCAAAAAGAATAAAATACCTAGGAATAATTTTAGCAAAGGAAGTGAAAGACTTGTACTCTGAAAACTACAAAACTTTGCTGAAATTTAAAAAGATATAAACAAATGGAAAGACATCACATGGTCATGGAGAGGCTGACTTTGTATTATTAAGATGATAATATATCCAAAGTAATCTGCAGATTTATTGTAAGCACTATCAAAATCCCAGTGGTGGTTCTTTTTTTCAGAGATAGAAAAATTCACCCTAAAATTTATGTGGAATCATAAGGGCTTCAAATAGCCAAACAATCTTGAAAAAGAAGAACAAATAAGAATCACACTTTCTGATTTTGAAACTGCAAAGCTAAAGTGATCAAGAGGGTGTGGTACTGGCATAAAGACATATTTAGGTAATGTAATAGAATAGAGAGTTCAGAAATAAACCCAGTGTACAGTCAGATGATTTTTTTGACAAGGTTGCCAAGGTCATTCAGTGGGAAAAGAACAGTTTTTCCAACAAAATGTTCTAGGAAAAGTTGATATCCAAACGTAAAAGAATGAATTGGACCTCTACCTCACATCATGTATAAAAATTGACTCAAAGTGGAACAAAGGGTAAATGTAGGAGCTAAAATTATAAAACTCTTAGAAGAAAAATATAGGCCTAGATATATCTATGACCTTGGAGTAAGCAGTGGTTTTTTTAAGATATGACGCTCAGGAGCACAAGACAAGATAAATTGAACTAAATCAAAATTTAAAACTTTGTGCTTCAAAGGATATTGTCAAGAGAGTGAAAGAACAACCCACAGAATGAGAGAAATAATTGTAACTCATATCTGGTAAGAAACTTGCATCTAGAATATGTAAAGAACTCTTACAACTTATTAAAAAGAACATAATTTTAAAATAGACAAAGCTCTGAACAGATGCCTCACCAAAAAGATACACAGATAGCATATGAGCAAATAAAGGAGCTCAGCAGCATTTGACATTTGGTATTGCAAATTAAAACACTGAGATACTACTACACCAATTACAATATCTAAAATCCAAAACACTGACAACACCCAATGCTGGTGAGGATGTGGAGCAACAGAAACTCATTTATTGCTGGTGGGAATGGAAAAATGGTACAGCCACTTTGGAAGCTATTGTGTCATTCTATGTTCTGTTTATATGAAATGTCCAAAATAGGCAAATTTATAGAGACAGAAATAGATTAGTTTTTTGGGCTGGGGTAGGAGTGGAAAAAATATGGGGGGAATAGTACTTAAAAGAATATGAAGTTCTTTAAGAATCCAGTAGATTTAATGGGAGTTTTGATGTTACTGGTGTTAAATGGCAGTGCGTAAAACATACTCGAAAAAGCACTTGTTTAATTGATTAGTAAGCACTGACACAGACCACTTTTGATCTCTAGGTCCCTGAGCAGCAGCCCGTTACATTGTGTAGTGGGGTTGAAGATACAAAGCATTATGACGAAGCCAGGAAATGTGTAGAAGAATTAGCATTGTACCTGAAACCACTCAGCAGCGCTAGAGGTAAGTCGGGTGCAGTTAGTAATGCTAAGCAAATGTTTATTAAAAATACTTTTATTACCATAAAAATTGTGGGCTGTAAATTGACTGTTAATGAAATTAATTTATTTAGTGTAAATCAAACTCACTAGTGTTAAATAATGTTATTACAAACCATATCAAACAAAGTAGTGAATTGAGAGTTAATGTGATGTTGGAAGCATTATTTGAATGAGTTACAGAAATAAGTATAAGTATAAATGCAATAATGGCTTCAGAAGGGCTCACTATCATTTGGCAACTGAATTGTCTGCCTTCTATTCAGTTTTATATGGTGTGCTATAGGGAAGGTAATAAAATTGGAAGTTGCCATTATTATCTTGCCATTACAGCTTGTTATTTCACTATGAAATGTCAGAACTGTTATGACCTCCAGATTTGGGTCTTTAATTATTATTGTTTGGCCTTTTCTTTTTCTTTTTTTCTTTTTCTTTTTAAAATATATTTTATTGATTTTTTACAGAGAGGAAGGGAGAGAGATAGAGTTAGAAACATCGATGAGAGAGAAACATCGATCAGCTGCCTCCTGCACATCTCCCACTGGGGATGTGCCCGCAACCCAGGTACATGCCCTTGACCGGAATCGAACCTGGGACCCTTGAGTCCGCAGGCCGACGCTCCATCCACTGAGCCAAACCGGTTTCGGCTGTCTGGCCTTTTCATCTTTATTTCTCCATGATTAAAATGAATAATGGTATATTTAATGTCATTAATGTATTTGCATGAGGTAAAAGCTTTTGTATACTTTTAGAAATGCTTCACTTGTGTAATTCTGTTATTCATTTTAAATATTCTAGTAGAACCCATAAGTCAGTCAGCCCATCCAAGGAAGTTTTTCTGAACTCTCTAAAATTGCATTGTAAACCTAGAAATAATTTTTTACTCTATTTAAAGGAGTGGGTCTGAATAGCACTACTCAGAGTGTTCTGAGTCGCCCAATGCAGAGGAAGCTGGTGACTCTGGTCCACTGCCAATTAGTGGAAGAAGAAGGCAGGATTCGTGCCATGCGAGCAGCTCGATCTTTAGGTGAACGAACAGTTACAGAGCTCATTCTCCAGCACCAGAATCCTCAGCAACTCTCTTCTAATCTTTGGGCAGCAGTCAGAGCTCGGGGCTGCCAGTTCCTTGGACCAGGTATATAATTAAATTTCATATGTACTACACTAGTAATTCTAAAAGTATGGCCTGGGGACTATAAATATATATAATGGCTAGTTCATTGCAAATTCTGTTGTTACCAAGCAATATTCTACTTGATAACTATGGTTTGGGTGATTCCACGTCAGTTTTTCAGAGCACTTAACTTTTCCCTTAATGCCAAAAGTTTATTCATTTTGATAGACATTTTTCTTGAACGTATTGACTTTTTATCTCCTTTCTTAAATAAAATGTAATACAAAAAGCCCCCGAAAGGTTAAAAAGCGTAACTATCTATCATTGCGTTGCCTATTTAAGTGATACCTGCAGAAATTATTGAGTATTGTCCATTTAATAAGTGAATTTATCTTATCCCTGCACATGATAAATTTTGATTTTGCCTAACTTTCCTAGCAATGCAGGAGGAAGCTCTTAAGTTGGTTCTCCTGGCTTTAGAAGATGGTTCTGCTTTGTCGAGAAAAGTATTGGTTCTCTTTGTGGTGCAAAGGTTAGAGCCACGGTTCCCTCAAGCCTCTAAAACTAGCATTGGGCATGTTGTCCAGCTCCTGTATAGAGCCTCCTGCTTCAAGGTATGAACCTCTGTTACATTACAGCTTAAAGGAAACATTATCCGTTCCCTAAACAATTAATAAAACTTTTAGTTTAATAAAGTTGCCTGAGTCTTTTCAGAAAAGTTAGCAATTTTTCTTTTAAATAATACAGATGGCATCCTAGTAAACTTAAATCTTTTTGTATTAAATTTGTATATTAGATGTTGAACAACATAGATCAAACCAAGGCTTATAGATTTTTCTGTTTGGTGAGACTAATAAGCTGGCTCAGTTTTCCACCAACACTACAAGGAGAATTGGTCTGGATAGAGAGTCATTGAAGCAGGAAATAAGCTGTATTTGGCTCTTTGTTCTGATATCATTCCAGGGATTTTGACATCTGTAAAAGGGGAAATGTTTTATTGGCAAAATGGTGTGCTCCATTTTAACCTTGCTATTGTTACTATAAGAAATTTGTTTGTTACATTAAAAATTATCTGTTATGACCAGCCAGTGTGGCTCAGTTGGTTGGATGTTGTCCCTTTCACCAGGAGGTCGCTGGTTGCTTCCAAGTCAGGGCACATTCCCGGGTTTCAGGCTCGATCTCCAGTAGGGGATGTGCAGGAGATAGCCAATTGGTGTTTCTTTTTCATCGATGTTTCTATTTCTTCTTCTCTCTTCCTCTCTCTGAAATCATTAAAAACTTTTTTTTTTTAAGAAAATTATCTGTTATTCATAGATGCTCTTACAAAGAATAAGCCCATTTTGTTCCTTTCCTGATTCAAAGTGAGATTATGTGTGTCTTGTTAGGTCACCAAACGTGATGAAGATTCCTCTTTGATGCAACTGAAAGAAGAATTCAGGACCTATGAAGCTCTGCGGCGAGAGCATGACTCCCAGATAGTTCAGATTGCTATGGAAGCAGGCTTACGAATCGCACCAGACCAGTGGTCCTCTTTGCTTTATGGAGACCAGTCTCACAAATCTCATATGCAGTCCATTATTGACAAGGTAGACCCTTTTGTTGTTCCTGAATTCTTGCAGTAATCCTAGAATTTGGGTGATTGATTTATTTAACAAGTGTGTATTAAAGTGAGTACTATACGTCACACTCATTTAAGTTATATTCTCTATAGTCCGGTATCATGTCACAACTAGTCACATCAAAGTACCAGTTTGCTAATATAAAGATTTTTAAAATTGAGGTATAATTGACATTTTTCATATAATATTTAATTAGTGTTTTAATGCTTTTTCCAGCCCACGTTCGCTCATTCTTTGAGAGGCTGGCGTTTCTTTTATATCGTTGCCTCTCTCCCTACTTTTATTGTTCTCTGAGTTTTGTTTGCTGTGTTAGTTAAACCCATTTCCTAAATGCCTTTATTGTCTGCCTGTAGCAGCCATTTAAGTCTGGAAGATGTACACACTGAGGCTTCATATTATACACAGCAGAAAAATTTCACATAATAACTTACCAACCATTCTAAGTTTGATCAAATTTTCAGTAAACTTATTTTTACTTAATGTTGTTTGTTATGATGAAAAAAAGATCACTAGAGTTCACATGAATTTTAGATCGGGCTCATTATTTCTGACTCTAAGCTAATTTTATTTTATTGATGTTTTACAGAGAGGAAGGGAGAGGGATAGACAGTTAGAAACATCGATGAGAGAGAGACATCGATCAGCTGCCTCCTGCACACCCCCCACTGGGGATGTGCCTGCAACCAAGGTACATGCCCCTGACTGGAATCAAACCTGGGACCCTTCAGTCTGCAGGCCGATGCTCTGTCCACTGAACCAAACCAGTCGCAGCCAAGGTACATGCCCTTGACCGGATTCGAACATGGGACCCTTCAGTCTGCAGGGGGACTCTCTATCCACTGAGCCAAACCGTTTAGGGCTAAGAGCTAATTTTAATTCTCTTAAAACTGGAGCACACTAAAAAAAAACCAACCTGGAGCAGACCATAAATGTGTTGTAATTCAATATGAAATATATGAAAGTGCTATAAAAACACCTTGTAAATATACTATGTTCAATAATAGTATTTAATTTAATTTTTACTATTTTACCTTATATACTTAAAACCATAGAGATGATATACTTAGTTACCCAACCATTAACTGAGAGAAAGGAGGTCAAGATGTTGCCCAAATATTTAACACTTACTGAGAGCTTACTATGTGCCTGGTGGTTTAAACAGTTCATTTAGTCTTCTCAACAGCCATCTATCATCCCTTTTATACAGAGACAAAGAGGTTAAATACATTTCTCCAGTGACAGATCTGGATTTGAACTAGGGTATTCTGACTCTAGAATCCATGTTCTTAATCACTAAGCCTCTTTCTGGGCTACTCTGCTTTTCTGTCTCTCTCTCTCTCTCTCTCTCTCTCTCTCTCTCTCTCTTACTCCCCAAAATAGAATTCTTTTAATGAGTAGGAGAATTGGGAAACGTGTTTTATAACTACTTGGTGCAAAATTTTCAATGTGATATATATTACTTGTTCTGTCCTATAAGTCTTCCCTAGATACCTTTTTTTGTTGTTTATCCTCACATGAGGATATTTTCCTATTGATTTTTAGAGAGCGTGGGAGGGAGGGAGGAGGGGGAGAGAGAGGAAGAGAGAAACTTCGATGTGAGAGAGACACATTGATTGGTTGCCTCCTGCATGTGCCCCGACTAGGGCAAGGGATCAAGCCTGCAGCCAAGGTACATGCCCTTGACCAGAATCAAACCCGCAAATCGCCCTGACCTGTTTGGCTCAGTGGATGGAGCGTC